GACAGTCCACCCATCAAATCCATACCTCTCCAGTTTAGAGAGAAGGATGTTGTGGGGGACCGTGTCAAAGGCCTTACAGAGGTCCGGATAGACAACATCTGTAGCCCTTCCCGTGTCCACTGATGTAGTCACTCCATCACAGAAGGCCACCAGGTTAGTCAGGCAGGACTTGCCCTTGGTGAAGCCACGCTGGCTGTCTTGAATCACCTCCCTGTCCTCCATGTGCCTTAGCATAGCTTCCAGGAGGATCTGTTCCATGATCTCCCCAGGCTCAGAGGTGAGACTGACTGGCCTGTAGTTCCCCAGGTTCTCCTTTTTTCCCTTTTGAAAGATGGGGGTTATGTTTCCCCTTTTCCAGTCAGTGGGAACTTCTCCAGACTGCCACGACTTCTTAAATACGATGGATAGTGGCTTAGCTTCATCTGCTAGTTCCCTCAGGACCCGCGGATGGATCTCATCGGGTCCCATGGACTTGTGCACCTTCAGTTGCCTTAGATAGTCTCGAACCTGGTGTTCTCCCACAGTAGGTGGATCTTCATTCTCCCAGTCCCCGCCTTTGCCTTCTGCAGCTTGGGCAGTGAGGCCCGAGCACTTGCCAGTGAAGACTGAGGCAAAAAAGTCATTGAGTACCACAGCGTTCTCCATATCCTAGGTAACCAGGTCTCCTGTTTCATTCCTCCAGCTGCTAGCCTGCATGCTGGATCGGTGCTCCCCACTGTCCCCACTCATCCCTTCCACCGCTCACAAGCATGTTGGGCACAGCCAGTCAGGCAGCAGACCTGTGCCTCACTTAGCCTGTTACCGCATCACTCCCGATACCGCCCTGCCCAGTTGTCTCAAACCTGGCAGCCAGACTATTGCACTGCAAAAGGTTAGAGCACTTTGATCTCAGCTGCTGGCTTCTGCAGGCTGCGCTTTCTTTGAAGCATTTCTACCACCATCTGTACATAATCTAAACCAACATATAGTCTTCCAGAGTCTGCAGGCTTCCCCTATCCATTTGTTGCTTACAAATTTCCAGACAGCTGAAATGGGCACTCTTGGAAAGTATAAAATAGAAAGATGTGTTAGTCAGGAGGCTATGATCTGTGAAAAAGTGAAAAGACACCTTTGCCAGACACAGCAGAAAAAGGATTCTGGCCTTTTATTTAGGCCTGCACGGTGCTCTGACAAAACACCGCTTTAGATACTTCTTATTTAAACAAATGGAAAAAAAAAAAAAAAAAACAAAAACCAAACCACACTCACTTGAATACTGGTTGGGTTTAAAAATTAGCAATCCTAACAAAATCACTGTGGCAAGTAAAACAACTCCACTAGAATTTTCTGTTGGGAAGATGACATGGTACTGCATTTCCCTTAGAAATGGTAGATGTTTCTAATGTAAATCCATATAAACCAGATAAATCTGTACTGGCCACATGCTAAAAAACGTTGCCAAAAGAAGTTCTCCAACAGCAAAAAGAAAGGTATGACAGCGTTATTGCACCGAGCTATAAAACAGCTTCTTGTAAACAAATTGACAAAAAAATTAAAAAACCAAAACAACACAAACTAACCTGTAGCATTAATTTAATACTCTACAGAATGAATTATGCAGAACTTTGGCAAATAAAAGACCACGTGACCAGCTATTGTATTCACAGTGTAATGTGATTTAAGGAAAATTTTATGCCACATGGCTACATGCTGTTCAGTTAAACACCTCTGCCTGTGGGAACTACAAAACGTTGCAACGCTATAGACCAGTTTGTTCTGATGTTGCCAGTACAGTTACGTATCATCTATCAAAACTTAAAGTAACCGTCTAATAATTTCAAAATATAAAAGGTATTTAGCTATGTTGCTTTTTATTGTACTGCTCATCAAAGTTTTAGTAGTACTGAACAGCTGCAATATTTGATTTGCACAAAGCAACTGTTCAGTAGCATACAGTAGATAATAGCTGTTAGAGGCCCTGTAGTTAGAGCAAGCTAATGAGTGCCCTGACAGAAACTGATGGAGCAGAGTTCTTCTAAGTGAACGTCTAAATTTTGTTAAAAAGAGAAAGTCGTTTTTTAACAGCTGTTTACTTATGCATTGTGTTAGCATAATAAAAATACTTGAAAAAGTATCCTACCTGCAGTCACACAATTTTCAGTGTCATAGTGCCAGTTAAGTTCATTGAACAAAAGATTTTTTTTGAAGCCAAATAAATTGCAAGTCTTGAAATGCTCGAGGGAATTGGTGACTACATAGCTCATCTGAACTGTTTTAACCTTGGGGCTGCCACAGTGTGTATTTTTAACAAGCTGGCCTTGCATTCATGCAAGAGAATACCATTGCCGTTGACTGACTTTTGGATAACAAATACCTCCTCCGTGGTTACATACGGGTATGTGACATAAGGTGATTTTAAAGCTTTCCTAAGTAAACTAAAAGAATATATATAGACAAAACTTGTTTTCAGAGTTGGATTTTATATACATTATACATACTTCAGAGCATTCACAATATTACTACATTTTCTTTCAGACCCACTTATGCTAATGCTGCAGCAAAAGGCAACGCTTAGACTGTTGAACACTCTATAAACATAAAGAGCAATTTACACTACCTGTAGATTGATTTTGTTACGCTTCTACCAGACAGGAATGGTTAAGTAGGAAGCTAAATCCTGCTATGGAAAATGAAGGAAGCATTGAGAAGGGTGGTGGAGTATATCAATATTGTTCTGTAGGTTACCCCATAGAGAACAAAAGTGCAAAAGCCTAGGTTCCGAATCTGTTAAGATTTTCAATAGAAGCAGCTCACTAGCAAAACAAAAAGTTCTTATTTCTCCTAGGAATGGTCCTTACTCAACAAAAGGATCCCATTAAATGCCCGTTCATAGAAGGTCCAAACTCACGTCAGAGGCTTTTCTGTTATTACTATAATTCAGCATATTCAAAGTCTTGCTGAATAAGATACACTGTATACCTGCTGCCACTCAATCATGGAAAACAACACGACTGACTGCCTCCTCTAACTACTAGATAATAATCTTTATTTTGGTTATCATCTAATATTTATCTAAAATTTGTCATTACTATTTAATGTGATATTTTTCATCTCCGCTTAGAATATTATTCAGTTTTCTTAGCTAAACTTACCATTGCCCATTTTGTAAAATGGACATTTGTATCACTGCATTTACGCTCAAATAATTATTTTTGTCATCTTCCAAACTCCATTGTACTGCAAGCAATTATCTAGGCTTCAGAGTAACACTCCAAAATTGTCATTTGTTGATAACTTCAGTGCTACTTTGTCACATTCACAGTGGTGTCCCTCACTTGTAAATAGCAATAGTTGACTAACCTTTGCTGAATTTGACACACACACTGACACACAACATGACCTGCATATTAGACTGATAACTAAGGAAGATTTTGTTACTGCAGTTTCAGAAATGCAAGTATTCAGAAAACTGGCCGATTAAATAGGTATGTAGTATTAAAAAGAATATTCTGTTAACCCAAATCCAAGTTCTGAGGAAGTTCTGTAAGTAGCTTGAAAGAGCCAAGAGTTATTAGAGTTATTTGTTGTGCCTATAACGCTCTTGAACAGAATGAGTTCTGTGGGGAAATCTGTACTAAACTGACCGATGCTGTGCCTTTCCGTTACCTGGTTGTCATGAATATGTATGTGCTTATTTTCTTCAAGTGTTTTAGGGATTCTCCAACATGGAGCATGGTAAGTACGAAGTGTAATACTAAGAGAAACTAGGACTTCCCCCCCGCCCCCTGGCCCTTGCTCAGCTGTTACTGAAGTTGGGTCCCTCATTCATCCTCTGTTACTTAACTGCAGCAAGGCTTAGCACTGAAATATTTCTTTCTAAAAAGGGATGCACTGATGAGTTCTGCCTTTTGGAAAGCATGAGAAGTCACTTTTTAATTTTTTTTATTTGGTTTTTCTTTTTTGTAGTGAATGAGATCATAGGAAGAGATATGTCACAGATCTCAGTGTCACATGGAACAACAGTGGCCAGCCAGTCTGCACGTACATGTCCTGGATCTCTGGAGACAAGAATATCTGATGGAATCCAGTAACGGATAAGCTTAAAACTAAACATCCACGAAAACTTAACAGTTTCTCTGAATATTTCTTCGTCCTCTTCCTCTTTAGACTTACTGTGCTTCCAACTCTGTGGCCTTTATGAACTGGAACAGTGGATCCTTGCAAAGCCCTTTTAGTGGGTTACATTTTTGATGTAGAGACAGAGCATTTTAATTATAGTTCCTCAGATGCTGTAAAGAGACTTCTTAAAATGGACACACAGAATCTACACCAGATATTTTAACTGTTTTAAAGTTACAAACAAGCTTTGCTTTTTGCATTTAAATAGAATACTTTTATATTTTAAGTGCTTCAGATGTGTGGAGATGTTAGTTTGCTCTTATAATATTCACAGTACTGAATGTGGAAAAAGATTTAATACACATCTTCAGTGTGCTGCTTTCCCTTAGAGATAGTATAGTTTGTAACTGATGATTTGTAACACCTTTTGGTCATTTTGGAAAGCCTTTAAAGCTTCTATTGTTTAACTTTTTTTTTAATACGATCTTCCAGTGGCAAATCATACCTGTCATCTGAAGCCAATGCCATGGAAGCCGTTGTGTATACAAATACCGTAGTGTTTTCTTTCTTAGATTCATAGGAAGCAAAGCCAAATGTAGATCTGCACTTGTTTATAAACTGAAAATGTTACTTGATAGGCTGCAAAAAGACCATTCCATCATGAAAGTGTTGGGATAGAAATGACATTCCAAATTTTAACTTTTATAACTTTGTGGATAATCTTCCTGTTCTTTATTAGCACAGGCTCCTTCTTTAAATAGCTTTTTCTTAGAAAGTTACGTTTGTAATCAAATTTGAGCAGTAGGATTTTAGATTAAAGAACAGCAACATCGAAGCCATGTTAGATACAGGAGAAGTTTTGATATTTGCTGAGGATCTAAGTGTTCCTGTTATCCCTACAGAATATGGTTTTGAAATCACCAGTTCAGTGGCATTCAAGTTTTCCATGCAATAAACCATTTGATCACATCTGTATCTTTTATATGCTGTATGCCTGACCATGCCACTTGGAAGTCCGAAGGAGATGACAATTACAGTTCCTTAAATTTAAGCTGTTTATAAACGTCAGTTTGCTAAAAAGTAATTTACTGTGAATTAGTGATTAGGTAGTACAATTTGCCCATGTTTAATTGTAAACGTGTGAAGCAGAAGCTACCAAAGAAATACACAAGATTCATAGCAGCAGTAAACTTTGTGCTGTGCTCAGAGGATGCATTTCCCTTACCCGCATGATATGACACATTTGAAACAATCTGTTTACATAGATATGAAAAATCTCAGGCCTCTATGATTAGAAACCTAGGAGAGGATCTGAAACCGCCTGCTTAGGCCAGAAACATTTCCCTTCCCCAGAAGACACTGTCGTTTACAAAGCTTTCTGGTATGGAACGTCCAGGGTACAACAGTCACGGCAAAGTAAGACCAGAAATATACTGAACCTCAAAAACATTTAAGAATGGTTTTAGTTCCTTGTTTGGGTGAGCCGTGATGCTCCAACGAAAATTAAGAGCGAATAAATACACTCAAAAATTCTGAAATATAGAAAGTGTATTTGCATTGAAACTAGTCCAGACAATCGTGGACGTTTTCAGTGGTTTAACACACGTGGAGCACATGCCTCTTTCTGTAGAAAATTACTATAGATTCTTAAAATTACAGTGAAATGGTCTTAAAGTGGATACCATTACTGAATTATAATCCCTGTAAAAGTAAACACAGATTCTACTGATGTTGCATTTTGGCAGACAGTCATGGGGAAAACTTTCCATTGAGCCTTTTGAAGGCAAAACATTACACCTAAATTTAAGTCAGCGCCCAAGCAATACCATTGAAGTAGCTATAATCGCATCTTTGTAATAGCTGAATCATGAACTTTTAAAAAGACCATACATTAAGCGGGTGAAATTATAACTCTTTATTATGTACTTCCTTTTAAGAGTGCAGCTTAAGGTTACTATCTTGATGTTTCGTAGTTATTTCAAACAACTTAATGCAAGGCCACTGTGTGCGTGCTGGGAATCTTAGCATCCTTTTTGTGAATGTATTGTTCAATGGTGCAAATCTTTAAATCTGCAGAAGAAAATTGGCAGGGCTGTAATCTGAAAAGTGTGATATTGTAATTGTCCCTCAGCGATGGTGCTTTACTCTGTCCTCTACTCATTTACGTTAAAGATCCTAGAAAAGGATTCACATGCTCAGAAATACATCTACTTACGTTTTTAACACCTTAAAAAAAAAAAAACAAAAAAAACCCCACACAACACTGTAAACTATGTAATTGTCTTCAGACTGTGTGCTGGTGGCAAGGCATGTTCCAGTTTTCATTCATGTATTGTGTCTTTTGCATTAACCATTGTTTGTAGGAGAATTCTAACTTAAAAGCTTTTCATGCTGTATGGGATTTATGCTCCTTTATCCTCTGGTACAGCCTCTCCTTGCAAGTTCTCCAAGTAGCTGGAATTCACACTGTACCTAAAATATAGGAGTCCAAACAATCCGGAGTTGCTATGCACTAACTTTTCTGATGCCTTTAAATACCTTGATGCCTGTAGACATAGAGACGCTTTCCTATTTAAAAATGAAATTAAAAAAAACAATATAGCTTTGGATACTAAAGCAGTTTTGTATTTGCCTTGTAAAAGCTTCAATACAAGGGTCTTAATTTTATTTTAGCTTGTGTGATAACGTAGGTAAAGACTGTTAATCTTGTATAATTTTAGTGATATAAAAAGCACACAATCTCTATTGGACTATGCAAATTTAATTAAACAGCAGAACCCGGCAACTGTTGATCTTCTGTTGGCATCCACTTCCTTGCCCTTAAGTCCTTTCTTCTCCCCGAGTACTCTTCCAAAACTTTTTAATAATTTAGATAATCCTGAAGGAAAGCCTTAATGATGAGGTAGCTTTTCTATAAGGAGGGTCAAAGATCAATGTTAAAAACAAAAAATTAAGGGGTAGTATATTAATCGGGGGGGGAGGAGGGGGCGATTTCTGAAATTACCATAAACTAGCAATCTGAATTTCTGTAGTAAAACTTTCGTGTTATCAGGGGAACTGCCATCCTTTTTAAACCAAAGAATGAAAACAACATGACAGTTTTGTTCTGATACAAACAAAGCTTCAAAACTCTATTTTTGATACTCATAATGGATGTCATTCCTTGAGGTTCGGAAATCGTTCAAATTGAAGTTTTATATTTAAAAATGTGGGACAATAAAGATTAAGTTCTAGATGTTTACAGAGCCTTGTATTGTAATTTCATGTACATTTTGTATTTTAAACATTTTTGTAAGTTATGATTGCAGTGCTACTTGCAGAAATAAAGGGAAAAACTTGCATTTAGGCTCTTAAATCATAGTGTTCAAATAAATAAAAAGAATGCAAATGCGTTGTCATTTATTTAAAATGCAGACCCAAATGCAGAGTGAGAAGAAAGTGGTAAATGGCTAGGCTCAGTTGTGACATATTAAGTGAGGGACGTTTAATACTCCCCCTAGAAAAAGTGGCGATTTTGAAGCAATATGATAAGAGTTTGGGGCTCAACTGAGAGCCAGCAACAGTGTAATGAACGGTCATCAGTGCTGACAGAGTATCAGTTTGCACTAACCAGTGATTTCTTATTGCATGTATCATTGTTGCAATTAGACGGTCACAAGATCATTTTGACAAATTATTCCAGAAATTATTATTCAGGGAGCGCATCATAAACACTAATTTCCATTCCTGGAAGGATATTATCACAGGCAAGATGCAGTTAAGCTGTTTCAGAAATAGATGTAAAATTCCTACAAAGACTAAATTATTTGCCAAATCTTGGCTGATCAAGCAGTACTGAGGACATGCCTTTGGGAACGGTACAGTAGATTCAGGCCTTAAAATCTACATCTCATCTCAGTGATACTAGTGCTACTGGAGAGATTATCTCCCTCGAAGTTTTGTTACAGGGTCTTTTCCTTATCTGTGGAATCCCTAGGTGTATTAAGGTATGCAAGGGTTCCAAACTGAACACTGGGCAAAAGCTCTGGCCTTCGGTTCGCAATGCACACCTGCCCGCGAGAGAGAAAAGGAGCAGTGATCACACAGCGATCTCCGACTCGCATTGCACGGTGAGAACATGGGCCAGTTTAGGCTTAGCCTCTTATTTAGAGTGCATGTCCTGACTGATTACCTTCAGCAATGTTTTTTATCTATAAATATAGCAGAAAGGGGTAGCTACAGTGCCAGTAACTGAATGCAAAGTAATTATATCTGTGTTTTACTAAAAATAGTGCAAGGAGTTTGAAAGCTGTTCCACATGTTTTCTAGTATGATTACCCAGTATATAATTAGCATATACCAACACTAGTAATAATCCATGGATCGACTGCGTATACTTTACTGTCAATTCAAGTCATCTTTCAGATGCAATAGGCTGAAGGCTGATTCACTAACATTGATAGGACAGGAGAGATGAGAGGATATGCAGTCACACCAGGGCATTTAAATCTGAGCATGGCTAACGCTGAGCACTCACGCTGACACCCATACCTGCTGTATTGCGGAGAGGAGACTTTATTCCAGGCATTGTGAAAACCACTTCTGCCTTGCAAAACGCTGCTTCATAATTTCAGGTAAGCGGAGGGAAGGAACATCTCGTTAAAGTCAGTGCCTTTAGAAAAGTAATCGAAGTTTCTGTTCATTTAGGACCCAAACCCAAAGGAAGTGCTGGCAGAAATCAAGGCCTTTTCTCTTGTTGTAGCTAGTATTTCCTTACAATATTCCACAGCAATACTCGTGCTATCTGCTTCCCTCTGCTTGTTTCTGGACTTCTATCCCTCTCCCTGCCTAACTCAAATACCACTGTATGCTTTGAATCCAATGCTTACTCCATTGGAGTGAATTGGGTGAGGATTGAAATATTTTCCAAATGGTCCCCCCACCTTTTTTTTCTTTTCCCCTTGGCTTTAATTAATTTACAAGAATAACATTCAGGAACTAGCCACTGCTGTAGTGATTAAAGTATTAAGATGTGTGAAAGGCCATTAAGAGCATCCAACATGGAAAAGAAAAACTATTTCTAATATACTTAAATTCATGTACAGTTTTGCCTACAGACTTCTCTGGCAATGGAAGTTAAACACTGAGCTTTATTCTGCCTACTAAAAAGGATAACGTTTATCATTCTTAACACACAAAAAGCATTGTCACTTGCCAGCATTCTTTAAGAAACATTATTTTACAATAACCTACTGTTACCTTTGTTACCAGTAACATCTGCTACATGTAAAAGAGAACAGGAGGAAAAAAATTAACCAGACTTTAAGCTAAAGAAGCAATAAAAGTAGGATACTTGCTTTGCAAAGGCTTGTATGTACCATGAATTTTGTTTTAGAAAAGATTGATCTGCTAGAGAAGTCAAGCTATACAAGTTCTCTGAGCTGTTTCTGCAAATTTAGAGTGAAGTTTTTGTTGGTTTATTATTATTATTAAAGTTTATTATCTTGAAATACCATCTGGAAACTGAAGAAAGAAAAAAAAACAACAAAAAAAACTTCTCTCTTCCTTACTGTCATTGTGACATCTGCTGGTAAGAGCTGGAAGGAAGAGTATGTGTGGCCTGTGCTTGATCCCATTACCAGGGCTCCCCCTCCCTACCTCCAAAAAAAAAAAAAAAAAAAAAAAAGGTCATTCTATGACAGCTCATTTGACTCCTTTATTCATAAAAATACCTAGTTAAGTGTTGGTGCTATTGATGTATATCACAGAGAAATGCATACAGTTGTAGATACAAGAGAACTTCAATAGCTCATGCCCAAGTAAGCTAAACAGAAGTCCCATCAAGCTGCCTGTGCATAGCTTAGCCTGTTGGCAAGCTATGGTAACTTCTGTGCACATCTAATACATTAGTCCCAACCTCTCAGTACACTGCAGAAAGAGTTAAACCTTCCGTAAAGAAACACTGGGAACATCCCTCAGAAACCCAATCGCGTATACACGGTGATAGCGAAACGCAAGCATTTAAGAGGAGAATAATAAAACTGGGTGGGCAAATAAGCCAAGAACAAAAAAATCTTAGAGAGTCACTGTTTGTCTTTTCAGCAAGGCCATGTTTTGGTGCAAGATCGTTAATTAACAAACCCAATATTGTTAAAAGTAGTTTTTGTGACATCTAGAAAACACGCATATAGAGCTTTCTCAAAAGGAGCCATTTGATACCTGAGGGCCTCAGCCCTTGCAGATTTATTTCAAAAGACAATGTTGCCATTTAACTTTTCTTACAGAAAGATTCACCATTACAAAGCCAATAAAAAAAGACAAATATATTGATGATAAACACATTTGCATGTAGGAGCCGTGTTATCCATAAGGATAAAAGGGAACCAATGAAAGTATAAAAAGTTGGGTCTGGAAGAAACCAAAAAGATGTACAGCATGGAAAATTCCTGAAGGTTGGACAGACTGATTGTCTAGGTAAGAGGATGGAGAGCATGGGCTAAAGGGCCCGAAAGCGATGTAGGCAAGACAGTCTGAAAATAATAGAGCGCAGTTCTGATCAGAGAGGTCCTGCCCCTTGCATCAAGAAGTTCAATGCCCACAGATAACTGCCTGATAGTTCATATTGCAAATAATTCACAGTGAGTATTTGAACCCCAGATGCTCTTTCTTGGGTGTTTGATTTTGGGGTTTTTTTCCACCAGTCTTAACCAGACTCCACTTTTGTTTCTAGTACCAATGCAGTTCCATCCTCCTGTGCACTCATACTCCTTTCTATCCACCTGACCTCTAGTATATGAGAAAAGCTACTGTCAGTCTGTTCATTTCTGTAATGTTTGATCAATGTGTCATAATTTTCAAAGAAAAGTGATGCACCTAAAGAGGACTCAGACGTTCATGAAAATATTGCTTGGGAATACAGTGTTGGATAATCAGTGGTATCACATGAAATAAGTTGGAGGGAAAAGGGAGCAACTACTTTTAGAAGTTCTTGTGTCAGTGGAATGAGAAACGACTGATGACTTGGAAAGGTCCTTCTAATAAAAAGCAGAGAAGACAAGGAAGCAGACTGTTAAAAGTCTTGTCAGTTGGAAAGGCGAGAGTATCTAAGAACACAGGTAGTTTTGGAAAACAATAAGCACCTCTACACTTTAACAACTGTAGGTAGCATCTAGTACCAAACATACAAGTTCCTAAGCCAAACTTCTTAACATACTAAATCTTCTGCAAGTAGCAAAGAGTAAAGCTAGCATAGCTTTTACATGCAATACACAGGCTTTAACACTAACATCAGCTTTTGGGATTTAATCTGGTATTGAGCATTTTTTTTAGGACAAGGCATGAAAGGTCAAGGTTGCCTTCCTAAATTTAACATAGCTTGGTACAAAAGGTGCGATGGATTGTCTCTGCCAAGGTGGCAGCAACACTGCAAGAAATAGACGCAACAGAATAGCTGAGCATTCTCCCAGTTCTCTTACATGCATCATGAATTTTTCCTCATTGTAATAAAAGGATCTGTTTGTAAATACTCCATGAACCCCCTGGTGTATCCACCGGCCAAGTCTTTCTTACAATGTGTTGGAAAAGGACAAGACAAACACTTAGAAGTCAGTATGTCACTGTTTTCAAGTAGGAAATTCTGCAAGTATGATGTAAGAACAGATTTTTCCAGTCTTCTGTCATTTGAACAAGTGCCTTCAAAGCTGCTGCAAAGCCTGCTCCAAAGCACTGGTTTTCTATGATTTAATGAATTATGTTTTAGTTTTAAGGTCTGGCATTGTAAGAAATGCATCATAATACAGGTGCAACCATTTAGAAATCAGAAACAGCAGCCGTGCAGATTTCCAGTTTAACTGCCATTAATTCAATACGTACACTATGTGCTTTTTACGCAGTGTCTCCGTGCGTACTGGCTGCTCATAAGACATTAATCCTTACAACTACCTGTTACTTAGAACAGTTGCTGTTCAGGTCTGCTGTGTGATCGTCTTAAGTTCTTGTAGTAATTGTTCCTGTCTCTAGCTGCACTAATTGGCACACTTACTGTTTTGCTGATACATGCATTTGTGCAATTCCATGTTCCCACTGCTTCTTCCCTTACCAGGAATAAAAATTTGCTCATAAAATCTTCAACAGAAAGCAAATATGAGAGGTCGAGGAAAACATTATTCAAGTAACAGCAAATACCACCCTGTGACATTTGCCTGGCTGTAGTCACAGTAGCTGGATGAGGAATACAAGTCATCAAGCCAATAGGACAAATAAGGCAATACCGAAACTGAATTAAGTGCTACTATGGGATTATTTTTTCTAAGGATATGAAAAAAAGAAGCTATGCCAAGAATGTCGTCATTGCCATCTGACCTCACCACTGACAGAAGTTATAATGGAAGAGTTGCACAAACAATGAAG